GGGCTCTTGTATGTCTAGCCCTTACTTGTGGCAGGAAACAGGCAATGTTAACGCCTGTCCAGTCTCGATTGGGGGATCATAACGCCAATTACGTATTTAGGGGGGGTTTTGGCTAATTATTTATCTGAAAGTGACTGCAATGCTTATTCTAAGGAGACCTGTCATGATATTAAGTCTACTGTAGAAACAGCCGTAACAACAGATGGTAGCCTACGCGTGAATGTTAGCAAACATCATTAGATTTCCGCGACTTCATCCGAAATGATTGATGCGAGAAAACTTATTACAGCAGGGTCAGCCCATAATAAAGAGCGAAAGCAACTCAGGCATAAGTTGACCAAGAATCTTCGTGTCGACTGCAAGCAGTGGTGGGTGGCGAAATCGAGTGGAAGAGATGGAGAAGGTATCAAGGTTGTGTAACACTCAGCAACTATTTAGGGTTATTAAGGATACCGGCAAAAATAAGATGATGGTTGGTGAAACCATCACCGTAGAGGATGGAATGCAGTTAACCAAGACGTGGTACTAGTGGATTAAGTCTCTCACTGTTTTTCTGAATAGTGTGGAGCGATGTATACTGACTGGTTGGGTTTCAGAGACGGAAGAAATCAACGATCAAGCAATCTCGATGAGACAGCTGAAAATCTGTCACAGTGCCGCAGATGTATTCACTCCTTGACGTCCCACAAGGCTTGGATATTTGCAGTAACCTTTATTATCAAATTGCCTTTTGTTTCACACAACTTTGTCTACTTTAACATCACTTTTTGTATCCACTTGTTTTCTGTATATTACTGTGTAGTGTGGCAACTTGAGCCGATACACTTTTATGTGACTTTTTTGTTGATATTGTCTCTTTGTATGTTTTTATATTTCCTAACTCAAAAACTATGTGCATCTTTATGCCCCTACGTGTTGTGCTGAAAACTGATGGTGCTACTTGACAGTCCAAATCGCGATAGGTGGAATGCAGCCTAAAGTCGTTACTCACTAACTGAAAGTTGACCATCGTGACCAATGAACCACCGTTGGATATGTATTAATTTGTGGTAGGATTAGATTGAAAGAAACTAGGAGATCTGACATGACCACGAAGGTTTGATTTTGTATTCATAAAGTAAATGAAATAAATCAATCATGATTATGATAACAATTATAATTTCAATGGAAAGAGATGTGCAAAGCTCATTGATCTTAAGTGTTCGATGTTCGACTAGTAGGTTATTGATCGGAACCCTCATCTTCTTGGTAATTCAACAATCAAATATCTTCATTGGTCTTCATGTGATAGGTTTGACGCTTACTCTTATTCATGTCGACGTGTAACTCGCTGGACTATTCACTCGTCTTTCAACCATTTGGCCATGGATTTGAACAATTGGTGTGGCTCATTTCCTACTCCACAAACGTGTATGGGGTTTCTTAGTGCATTTTAATTTTTTCTGGGTGAAGAAGTTCATCTCGAAAATGTCATTCGCTATCAAGATTATACGAGGTTGTAAGCATAATTGATTGAATTGATCTGATGGCTATGTTTTCAACAAACAGTGATGCAATTGTAATTTTATGATTGACAATTATTGTTGACTTTATCTTCTGTGTTCATGATAAAGCATGATATCATATTTTTGAAAGAAAAATCCCTATTGAGGCTGAATTTCCTGGATACATACTCAAAATGTTGAGTCAGTAGCTGGCATTTGCGTATCTGTTATACTTGTCTCTGCATGTACACGTGAATCGAAAGACTCATTTTGAGAAAAACTTACGTTCAATATCGTCTTTGACAAGAAGAATATCATACTTGTAACGCACCTCAGGTGGTCAGTATCAGTATGTTACCTAGCATTACTTCTTTAGGATCCAAGTCGTTAAACCTAACATCAGCGCATTAAGATATATTTTTGTTCGTTCTGTTATTCGTGTCGTATTTCTGAGTACGCTTTAAGCAAAAACCGTTGTTAAAGACATGTTGTCTAGTCAGCTTAAGTTTGGTTTGAATCACACCGTCCAAAAGAGTTGTCCTGCATTACGTTTTTTCACATTTGATGGGAACTCCTTTGCTTTAAATACTCATCAAATTACACAGCTTTGAGGTGGATATGTGTCTCAATTTCACCATTTTCGTTGAATTTTATATTTGCATTTAGGAAAAATTAGCTATTTCTTCCACATTTTGTTCTAACCCTAAAACACTGAACTGTGAAAAAAATTTGAAAAGTTTTATGATTGATAAAAACTGTGAGCTCATAAAAATATCGTTAACATACTTCGTATATAAGTCACGCGTTCTTAACGCATTCGTTTCAGCTTTAAGGTCATTCACATCCCTGTGATTCATTTTTCCAAGTAGTTTACTATTATACAAAAGCTTACGTGTAATAAGTGAAGCGCTTGGCTGTATACGTTATCGGAAACCTTCACATTATATTAAGAAAGGCTTTGCAAAACTAATTTTTATGCATTTATCCTACCATTTTTGTTCTGAATTACTTGAAGTTCACTTTGATCCCTAGTTTACCTCACATTGTTTCTCCTGAACGACTCTTCTTAAATTTATCAACTTGAGAAAACTCTTTAATCGTCTGTATACTGCCTCAATAGTACTGACATAATTAACCTAATTTCTTACTAAACGTCAATACCACTGTACAATATGATTATATCGTCACTGAAAAAAACATTTTTATGTGAAGAGTTTTCTACTTCTTTCGAAATGTGCCAGAATGATGTTTGACTGTGTCGATCCCACGTAGATACACGGACACGAAACTTTGTTGTGTTTAAGTTGTGTACATCTAGTGTGTATGAGCAGCCTTAAGATCTGATACATTTTCTACATATTGAACAATAATAATAATATCCACAGTTTCCTGGAGAGGTATGTTAATAAGCAGAAACATAAATATAGTGAATGTAATATGATGAACCTTACACGTTAAACCTCTCTATTCTTTGGATGAATTCAAAGGTATATTTTATGGAATATACTGATAATTTTTCCAATAATTTCCAAATATTTCTTTCTTTGGTAAAATATGACTATTGTATACTTACATATTTCTGGTTATCCTAAAATGAAGGACAGGCATGATTTTGTGGTACTATATTCATTATATGCCTGGTCGTCGTTAAGCCTTTTCGTTGGAGGTTCTTGGAGTTTTTTCATGATTCGTTTTGCACTAATATCTGTAATACTTTTGTTACATTTGTTCGTCTTGAATTGTAACGAATCTTTAATTATCCCATTTCGCCAACATATTTTTTATTCAATTTTAAGGTTTGTGGGGATTTATTTGTTCATTTCAGGTTGGTATTTGTCATGGACTGACATCAGTCGGAGAACCATTGGAAACCTGGGAGCTCCGGATAGCTGTTTCGTCCTATTGAGGGATTCTTCGGCAGAGCACATCTATGGCCCCGTGAGAAATCGAACCAAGGACCTTCGAGTTCTGTTGCCAGCACATTACTTCGAGAGGTGATTTCAGAGAAGTCTTGACCCAGTGACAGTATTGGATAGAGGCCGCGCTATATCATGAACTGTCAGAAGTAAGAAATGTAGACCAGTGGATTGCGACCCAATGGCTCCATGTCAGCGTGCCGGTCTCGGAACCTTTAGGTCCTGTGTTTGATCCCTGTCAAGGTTATGAGTGAGAACTGCTGAGGAGTTCCAGATCAAGACGAAACAGCTGTCCAGTGCTCCTAGGTTTCCAATGTTTTTCCACCTGATATCTTTTATTATCTATTATTTCCACAACGGAACTGCTAATTAGTTTTGGCAAGTTTTCATTCCTAGCATATTCTTTCGTTTTAAATACCGCGTTGATCATCAATGCGTTAATGCACTTCTTCTGAATACGACTCTATATCAATTTTGTTGAAGAGTTTCGCCATAGCACTAAAAAAGAACTTGTGAGTGGGAACCAGTTGCAATCAAATGACTGGTAGCTTGTGTATAAACTCTTCTTGAAAGTCATCGCAAAGCTTGTGGTTAATCCCAGATTCAGAAGGACTTCCGAACTTGTTTTGGACTCCACTTGTTAGGTGACATGGACAAATTTTACTGCACTGTGAAGGTAATGAGAACTTATGATGTGATGATCTTAAGCAATTTACCGCTGATAATGTGTCACCGCACTCTCCTTTGTTCAGTATATGAGTTTATTGAATCTCTGGATTATCTATAAGTCTACTTGGAAGTTATTTGAATTGTCTTAAATATCCTGCTATGTAAGAATCCACTTATATTCTCATTGTAGGACTTATCGGTTTCTAATGAGACACATTATGTGCATTTGTGAATCTAAAGTTATTGTTGTATATCCTTGCACATAAATGCATTATTGCACATCCTAGTAACATAGAAAGTTAGAGTAAAAGCAGCTATGGAATGATATGCGCATAAACAAGAATTAAATTCTTTTTAAAAACCATTAATAAAGTGCCCAGCTTTCAGAGATCATTAGTCGATGGTGCCATTTTTCATGTAATCTTACTTAAAACTTCTGTGATTGCTTTTTAGAACTCACAACTGTTCACCTCGACTGTATGCATTAGTCTAGCTATTTAATGGGTTTCTTACTAGCAGTGGAATCACTGGTTTCTAACTGTTTGATTTTATATGTTTTGAAAACATGCCATGGATCAACTTGATAAGTTAGTCATCTTGTTATTTGATACACCTTCCTTATGTCCATGCATCAACAATGACAAATGAAGCACTGAATAAAAATATTTCGCTTTTTCGGTTTGCTATCTATTGAAGAAATATTATTTGGTATCAACTACCATTACGCTCACTCTAAAAGAAGACTAGGAACCATGCTGTACAATCAAAAGGATATTTATCACAATACGCGAAGATCTAAGATAATTAAACTCTCAGCAAACTGTCACTTGTTGAATTTTACTCTACTAAAGTGATCACAGGTTTTGTAACTAACTGTTCATTTGCATCGAATGGTCTAATGCAACAAACTGTTGATTAATTGTATCGTTTGCATGTAAGATTTTTGTATGTGGTTCACATATCACTGTCGTGATTTATTGTGCTCATTTTAAGTCCATACAATAAAAATAATACACTCGACCTTCACTTATAACGAAATTTATTACCTCGGTCTTTGTAATCTAACAAAACATTTTTCGAAAAACAATGATATGGATACTTAGTTATTCTGACTCACTTGATATCGGTCATATTGTTCACGGGTAACAAGTCTATTGTAAAATGAAAATATCCTGCTTTGTTCTTAAGAAAAACTCAGGAGTGTTTACCTTTGAGGACACGAAAAACGAGAAAAATCACCTCTCCTTGCTTTCTTATTTTTTTTATAGTGCTTCAGTGCTTATCAAGGCGGCATTTGACATTGTCGGGGCAGATGTGTTGTGGCAGTGCTTAACTATGAAGAGAGTTCCCGGCAAATATGTAATACTAATTAAATCTTTTTATTCGAAATCTTGTCGTCCGAATTAACAACAGTCAATGCTGTGCGCCAAAGATGTACACCATTATTATCCTCGTTTAACTTTACCATCAACGTGCTAGTGGATATAACCCTATATACCTCTGAATCTGCGGAGATTGATTAACTCTCCGGAGTGCACCTGGTTGGCCTGAGATATGCATACAATAACGCCCTGTTACAGGAAGCCTCTGACGAAATGCAGATTTTTATGAACACTTTGAGCAGAAATGTGAATAGACTTGGCGCTTGATCGGCATCTGTTAAATGTAACATGATATTGCAAGATAGGCTTACACTAAATCGTTTAAGGATAACTAATTAAGTGGTAGAATCCATTGACTACTTCACTTACTGGGGAAGTTAGGCCATCCTGACTGAATTGGTTGTTCACAGAACTTTGGTTTGGATACGAAAGGCTTGTTCACTATTTAACAACCTGCATAATGTTTGAAGATGGTAAGATATTCGATGACCTGTGAAAGCGTAATCATATTGTTATATGTTTCGACAGCAGGATTTAGAGTAAAATTCATTCCCCCTGAAGTGTTACTGGACGAGATTGGTTGCAGGTTTACATCTAAAAAATAATAGTCGGAATATTTTTTTATTTCAGTTAGTTTATTAGATATCACACAGTGAGAGAAAATTCTTAACTGGATGACGTTTGGACACACATTTTTGTCCATAGTCGTATCAAACCAACTCCACAACTTTCAGACTTGCCTCATATAGTTCTAATTTTCTCGCCTTCCTTGTGATATACTTAGTAGGATTTTCGCCATCTCTGGAACAGGACCTGAGTCATTCTTGTTCCATGGATTCTATGTCGATTCGACAAATAAAGATTCGGTGACCAATTTTTCCTCCATCTCACTAAATTTGCTTTGAGGGCTGTCACTATGTCCCACCCTATTGTATAGCTGTGTGTAGTTTCACGCATAACTATAACGGTGCTTTAATTCAAATTCCTTATCTTACTGAAATGTTTCGATTTTGATGTAGCTAAGCTATTTGTGTTCGGATAGCCTAATTGACTTTGGTCGACTATGTTGGCTCACGTATTCGACCTCGCAATCGTTGCAAAGGATTTAGATCAGTAGGATCTTTCATTAACCTGGGAAGTTGATTTCTAATTGACTTTGTAGGTTTAAATACCTTGTTGAGAATCTCCTGCATAATGTCACTGAGGTGGCTTTCGTTGTATGGTAATAGTGTAGAGATTTTGAATTCTCTCTTCACAGTTTCACCGTTATTATTACTATAGTTTTTAATACCTGTGCTACAACTATCTGTGATGATTTTCCTACGATTACTAAGGAATTTGTTTACTAGTTCAGGAGAGTAATTATTGATGAGTGAGTTGTCTTTAATGTGTCTGATTTCTTGTCTTAGATCTTCTGTCTTACTGGTATGTTTCTTGGCCCTGTTGTGTAATCATTGTACTAAGCCAACTTCAAATGGCATGGGATGGGATGATTTGATGTCTCGAATCATTACTTGGACTCCCTTCCCAGAATCACAGAACAGTTACGGCAGAGCCAAAGTAACATCTATTCCAGTCTGATTATCTATGAAATAAATTTTGCTCGAGCACCCTAATTGACCCTAGTCGACTACTTTGACCTTTGCATTTGACCTCGCAATCGTTGCATTGGTTTCGGTAAACTAAATTATTCTGCCTTATTGGATAAATAAAGTTATTTAACCCGCAGAGCTTGTTTCTGAGGCACGTTGTAGATTTAAATCCCAGTTTAATCACAGCCTTAATAAGATTTCTGTATCGTGCCTCAGGCGCTTTCCTGTATGCAAGCACCGTAGTTATTTTTATAAATTGTCTCTTCATAGTGTTGTCACTGTTGCCATTATAAGTATTAACGCCCATATTATCACCGTTAGTCATATTTTTCTAACCATTACACTACTGACGAATTTATTAAATACTGCAGAGGGGTAATTATTGATGAGTAATCTGCAGTTGATGGTGCTGTCACGATTGGAGGAAGCCTCTATGTCCTAATTACTTTCTTTTTAGAATGTTCAAGCTGTCACATTTGTGGATAACATTTGGTCATGAAAGCTACTTATTATTTCGTAGACTTAGAAAGTGGTTTCGCAATAGGAAATAGGCTTGGTCTAGATTTGTTCCAATTTTTTCTTATGTTAACTATGACCATTCAATATCATACTGTGAGTTAACAAAGGTAATTTTTTCCAGTTACACTTTGTAGTCATCAGAGACGAAATCATATGACATTAGACTATTGGAAAAAACGACTTCCTGTATCCATGTTTCACTCAGAAATAGTACGTCATCGACAAAAGGCTAAATCTAAATAAATTGCTATAACTACTCTGTCTCTTCTTTTTCTTTTTTTCGTCTCTGTTTTTGATGTGTTGTGAATATATGAGGCCTAGATATTTTGCATTTTAGCGTATCATAAAATTGTTAACATGACTTGTATATATCTTGTAATTAAATTGTTCTTTTACTTCTTTCTCCTAATTGCTCTAGAAGATCATCCAACTTTTAGTGTCTGTTGTTGGAATTGGAATTAGTTTACGATTGATGTTTTATTTAATTGAACAAATTAATCCAACACTAAAAGAAAAACGAGAATGTCGAAAACGTGTGAGATTTATTTATTTATTTATTTGCTGATTTCTGTTGTTTTTTTAATGGAAAAAGAAACTTCTATTTCATTATATGAATTATTGTTTTACGTTTCAATAAGTTATTATTTAGGCTCCTGCTTCCATAATAAGCGTTTTTTAAAATCTGTTCAATGTTGGTTGTATCTGTTCTATGTATTGATAAAAATGTTGATAAAATACGTCGTTTAGGAGGCGAAAAATCTTGAATAAAGGTTGAATGACTATAATTCAATGATTGTAATACTCTCTCTGAGTTAAAACTGTATTCTCCATCACTGAATGGCAAATTCAGGTAGTTCATGTCTTTGCATGTAACAATTTAAAAAAATAATAATTTGAGATGGTCTTTCCATTCAAATGATGTGCATAGGCTAGTCAGTCGCGTAGATCCTAAGAATGAATGTTTTCCATGCCACTGGCAATTGAGTTGTAGCTTTGCGGGATAATCAACCACGATAACACTGGACAATTTGGAGAACATGCCAATTTATTGTATTGACACGATGTTTTTCCAAACCGATGGATATTATTCATTTTGAAATTTTGGATACTGTTACTGATAATGACTATGTTTTTCACTTTAGTACAGTTATGGTGAATAACCAGCTACGTTCTTTCTGGAAGTATTTTCATGTAATGTTTTTTTATATTAGCTATCATACAATTTGTATGACCTATTTTCCATATGATCATCAGGTAAACTTAAATAGGCACCACATTTTCTAATGTTGGATATGTACTAATTAATTATTGCACATTGGATGTTAGCTTATTCCAAGTTTATTCATAAAGTGCTTACCAGTTTATCGATCAAGTTTGCAGTGTTATATTTAAGCATAGTGATGCGATATTTTAGCATACCAAGTTTCATGTTGAGCGCTTTCTGACCGTCAAATATTATGTAGGGGAGAAAAACATTAGCTCCTTAAAGTTGTTGTTTAGACATCAACCCTATTGAACTTATTAATGCATTGTTTGCGTACGCTTTGTGGATACTAATCCACTGATAACTGAGTCATTATTGTTTCTAAATATTTCAGAAAGATATACCACCTACTTCAGCTTTTCGTATAAGTAGTTAAAAAGTAGGAGGCAGGTGGGCGTAATTGGTTTGTAGAGCGAGAGTCTACTTTATTTAGACTAATTTATCTCGAAAATCTTTTCACTTCATTGATATAATAAAGGATTCATTCTATATTCTGTAATGAAAATACCTAGAATTTCCTCACACAATTCTTTGACACTGGTACGGGTTTTTATATTTAAAGTTCTGTCAGCTTAGCATACTACTGTTTTCCATTTACTTCACAAACCAGTACACCGCCCGGACCATGCACCAAATTGTGAAATGCTCTTGTGAGCACTACCCGACCTGGCTAATAAACAGCGAATAGAAATGCATCTTCTGCTCTGCAATAGAACACTTGTTTTTTAGTTGGTTGATAGCAATCGGCAGGTAGCCTTGGACCTAGGTTTTGTACTTGTTGGGACTAGCTAGCGAGGCATCTCTGCAACCTAACTGGAACTGATATCTCCTACAAAGTATGAATTCACCTCACTCAGTGTTGCAGTCAACATCGTTACCAATGGGCTGTTCAGGCTGCGAATGACCTCCTGCAAAACTGGATTACATATATTGATTAATCACTGGAGAGCAACCAATCACATATTTTCTAGTCCTGAATGGTGACCGAATTCTATTGATCATTTTGAAATGTGGCCACAAATTTAGTAGGCTCACTAGCAACCTTGAATCTCACAGGTGACATCAGTTCCCTCGAGGTTGCAGATACTTATGGCTGACAAGCGCCTAAAAGCACGAAACGTAGGTCCAGGGCATCCTAGCAACTGCTATGATTCAAGTAACGTCCATCAAAATTCACTGCGAAGGTGAGCTTCCTAGCCTGATAGCCACATTGTAAAATGATCAATAGAATCCGGTCACCACTTAGGACTAGACAGCACGTGATTGGTTGCTCTCTGGTGATGAGTCAATGCACACTTGGTTTTTAAAATAATCCCTAATAAATTTTATACGTGTAACTAAATCATCTGGAAGAATAAAACATCTGGGACAGTTGAATTATTGGCAGTTCGAAAGTTCAAACCTTCATTGTACGTTCTAAAAAAACTATGCCCAACTTCATTCTTTCCCATAGCCGTCGGTTGATGATGTTTGATGTTCGTCCAGAAATTAATATTGAGTGCTTGATCCTTCCCACTATATATTCCCCCCGTATGTATCTATGAGAATGGGTTCGTCAGAGCGAAAATTGTTGTTTTATCTCTTTTCCTACAAATTATCACTTCTACATTAAAGTCCTGTCCAATCATTTTTATTTCATTATAACTAGGAGTAAATTTATTATCCACCATACTCAGGGCGATATTGATTAATGTTTATTATTCATGGACTGCTTGTCGCATTTGTTCAAGAATGAATTTAAGGTACTTCACTGAATAGTCACATGGTATTTTATTTAATCTGAAAATTAATAAAAGACACTAAGTTATATCCTATTATTATTTTTACAACCTATTGAAATGATCAAAACTATGCTATTGTGTGTGGAACATTTCTTTTGATGGTTCACATACTGAGAGATGATACATAAAAATTTGTAAGTATACATTCACAAGAATGACTGGATGAAGTGAAAATCAAAATATCTTGGCTATAGGTGTATCAGCTGACTGCAAGGTATTTCGAAAGCCAATATATATTGGGTGTATATTGGTTTCATTTTCTCTTTATTTGCTAGCATATCCGCGTGGTAAAGTTGTTCCGTCTCCCATGTGTTGACTCATGTTGCATTCATTATTTATTTTGTTGAAAGGAAGGACAAAGTGTTGCAACGTTAAGAATCACTATTTCTTTTCAAACTTTGTTGTCAAAGGTGTTATTGTGATATCAGATGTTTATCTGAGTTGGTAAAGTTGTCAGTTTAAGTGATTCTCAGTTTAAAATTACTGACAACACCGTACAGTGTCTCAAATTTCTGTATACGAATGCTACGGCCGACATCTATGAAAGTAATTAATAGTGTAGCATTCCGGCTTCACGGCAAATATACATTCTTATATTGTGTAGAGGTATTCCATGGTATTCACCATAAAAATATACCAAGTAATAATGCATACATTGCTTTACTGATGGAGATAAAATGTGTGCTGAGTAATATCACTACATGATCAATTTAAAAACTGCAATTCAAAAAAATGATTGATTAACAAAATACAACTCAGTGAGGAAAAATTTCTTTTAGACGAATCATCTGCGAAGGCTGTACAATCGTAATCATAGTCATTAAAATATGTATCCATCAGCGGCTAGTGGTTCAATACAAAATGTATCACCTAAACGGTCAATAAAGTCACAAGGTGATGGCTCCTAGAAGATCAACAAAAGTTTATAGGATTACAATAGGTAGATAAATAATAAGCGAAGATTACGATCACGACACTATTAGATATTGAATGTATCTTTTAAACGCAAAGACCAGGTTTGAACCGCTGCATTGTCAAAGCTTCTGTGGTGTTGGAGATGACGAATACACACTGCCTTCGAAATGTTTGGATTCACTTTATAAATGAGTTTGAAAGAAGATTATCATGGATCAAAGTTACCAAATACTCAAGACTCGTAGTGTTGACGCCTTTACACTGTCCTTTAGACAGACATGCAAGATAGTGTTTGGAGATGCGTGTGGATAGAATACGCTTTGTGTGACCTATGTAAGATCAGGTAACTAGGTAAAGACATATGTTGACTGTAAAAAACAGCCGGAAGCTAAGCGGAAAAGAAGGTCTTCCTCAGTGCTTTGCACAATCGATTCTTCGGTATCTCTACCAGTGTAGCTCCGTTGAATCCAATATTCGTAAATAGTATCTTCATTGGAACCATAGGGGTCCTTTCTTGGAAATGCTAGGCTTTCTGTTCCTCTCAGTGAATCTTGGAGGATAACCATTCTTGATTAACACTCTTCGAAGTACTTCCAGCTCCCCATTTACTGTACCATCTGTGCAAATTCTATTAATTCTTGTGCAAAGTGAATAAATCAGATTTCTTTTCCTGACTAATGGAACCCGGCTTTTAAAATGAGTATATTGTCCATCCCAGGTATATTTTCTGTAAGCTGGTCTCCTTAGGGAACCATCATGTTTTCTAGGAAGTGGAATCCTAATTTATTTTCAGTTTCCATTACAAATTACATTGGTCTGTCACCTCCGTTGATTGATATTTTTTCGTAAATGCTTTTCCTTTTTTAAATAATTCAAAATATGTTTTCGAAAATAATGAATGACTTAAATTTATGCCTCTTTATCATTCCCACACAATTTTCCATCCTGATTAAATGTTTACGACTGTGTTTTATTTTCTTTCATGCTTCTCTTGTGGATGGAATAAAGATTAGTATTTGCTTGTACATTCCAAACAAGTAATGGTTTACGAAATGCTTTCATTTGTAAGTCAACAGAAGCCACCTAAGTTAACCATCAAGACTATTCGATTTTGGCTTTTGTGAACATTTGTGGCATAATTCTGATTACAAAGCAGCACAAAGCCTTCTGCAACTGTCTTAGTGGTTCAGTTAGGGACGGAAGAAATCAATGCCGATCCTGACACAGAAGTGCATCTTCTCAGTTTTTGCCACACTTCACATCTGCACTGAGGAAGTAGATGAAGAAAGTATAATAAAATAGATGAGAGAGAATGGCTACATGAAGACTGTTTAAAATAGTCAAGACGTCGAAGATGACAACGAGTGTATCCATCCGTCCTATTGTGACCGATTTTAGGCCAAGCCACCAAGAATCTCTAGCCATTGGTCCCAGTCCTAACCTACTCCCTAAAATATGCCTCAAGCCTACCGTCAAAGACTTCGAAATCTAGCACCACATCTTGTTTGAACCAACCTTAGCCTTCTGCTAACGCGATTCTACTTTGGCTAACACCGCACATCAGATTGACCTTTCCTTGACATGCGCAACACCTAAGTTGACAAAGGTTCACAGCTAGCCCTTCTTTACTTAGCACATCTAGGCAGAAATCAACACCAGTAAGGGTAAATGATTGTGAGTAACATCAAAAGTCCTCAAGTAACATAAGACGAAAAGAACAGGAAACAAAAATAAATGCATCCGATATCACGACTAGAGGGAAAATTATCAATGGAAATCTCTTTCTCTTCCATCATCTTTGAACCACTATTGAATATGCCATCTATTCATCTCATCGGCGTAAACAGGTAACCTATGTTTTACTACACAGTTCAGTTACTTCATGGGTTAGAATTAGATCCCGATTTGGTCACTCTTATTTTTTTTCCAACTTGTTCGTATTTATGTTGAAATAGCACAGTTAAGTAGACGGTGGCTCATTATGAGTCATATATACCCCAGCCTTGTCAGTCGTTAAAGATTTTTGGCCTCATTTGTTCTCTCTGCCTCCTTCAGCTAACAACCTACGCTTGGTCTCTGTTTTCCTCAAACAGTGGATCTATGACAAACCAGAGATGCCTTTAAGGCAAAGGTGGTTAAATATCCCGAGCTTTCTCGTGTTCTTCTATTTTAATAGTCATGGTGCAGCGCACTCGCCTCTTAGCAGACAATCAGATTATTTACTGGTACTAAAATTGTCTAATGTTTGAAAAAGTCAGCTGAATCTGTCCTATTCTTATTGAGGTCTTGTCAGTCACCACTCATCTGAAATCACCCGATTTCCTACGTGAGTGAAGTTGTCCGTATAGTCAATCACTTCGCTTCCCATTCCTAAAAATAACATCAATAAAGACCACTTTTGAAGTAATGTTTTTCTGTTGTGGAGGTGGGAAATGTATCTTAAACATTCATTGGCCACGAGGCTGTGAGTCTGTCCAGCATCATTTGACAGAAGTATGTCATCGACTAAGCGACCTCCTGAGAAGGGATTTTTCGCTTTTCGTTAAGACTGCATCATTCAACTATTGAGACAGGTTTAGTTAGATCATGTCTGACTCAAAAGCCCTAGATACTATCTAAGTCAGTCTAATTTATAACCCCAGATAAGAGTCCTTGAATACTTCCGACGAGAATTTGCTGTCTTTCTTCGTTTGAACTAAATAATGACTTTTTTCTTATGGTTACCCGAATTTCTATGCTGGCCTTATCGATTCTCAATAATCTTATTTATTACCTATAGATAAACCTGATCATCATAACAAGTTCATGATTGTTACCTCAAATTACGATTAATTATTTTCTCTTTATTACTCCTTGGTTTTCAGCGCTCTTTAACCTTCTGTTAGTAATATAAAGTATCTTCAATCTGTGCCATTTCGCTTGCCAAGATATATGTGTATAACCTGCGTAATTTGGTTTATTACAACTAATCGTCTTCTCCAAGTAATTACAAGCAGTGAAACGTAAAATCATTACTTCTGCCTACTTCACTAAATGTAATCACAAATGCGAAATGAACACAGGTCTCATTCTTGTTTGGATTACTGATAATTACGTATGTTGTCTATCATTATTCATTCAGGTGTTTTTAAAATGTGTTTCGCTTCTTCAAGCAAACCTAGTGACCACTTTATTATTATTGACCTCTCCACTTGAAAAATCACAAAAATTACCTTCTATAACTTTATCTTTTCTTGAATAGGCTGAAGCAATTTTTAAAAACATTGGATTGAAAAAAACACCTTGTTTGAATGACTACGAGGCATGTATTGCTGTAAATCTGGTGGATCCGCACATTTGAGTACAACATGGGATTCCATTGGAGGTTTGGATTCTGTTATTAACGAGATTGAGGAGTGTGTACTTCAGCCATTAAAAATCAAGCATTCTCTACCAGTTAATTCGCGGTTATTGAGACCACCGAAAGGGATTTTACTTTACGGACCACCTGGTTGTGGAAAAACACTACTTGCTCGTGCTATGGCACGTGCTGCACATGCTAATTTTATCAATCTTCAGGTAGGTAATAATGTTAGTATTTCTTTGAATAGTCTGTTCATATATTATCACATGTGACTGTGAAAAGCCATACCGATGTGGCATAGTTCAGTTGATATGTACTTTCTACTGATTCATTGCTTACACTTTTCGGTTTTGTATTATTTGATGCGTATGACTTAAGATAATCCTTTATTATAAATATCTCACAAATGATGGCATTACAATGAGTCCCGGTAGTGTATATTACTACAAGATAGCTTACACACCTCACATCAGGTCTCTGGGACTACTGTTGAAAACTATACATGTTGAACATTAGTTTAGATCGCTCGACACCAGCTGTATTTTCGGGTATATCGACAAAACCCAACTTTGAAAATCAGGTTGCTTAAAATCTTCAATACACTTCCCTTGACTTTGCTAGTAGTCGCCAATTATTCCGCCTCAAAATATTCATGATACATAAGAACCACTGAGATCGACGATGTGTTTCGTCCTAGTTTGAAACAAAATTTTTGAAAAAGCATAAAACATTGGATTTCTACCCAGTAGGTGACTCCTAACGTATTCACCATGTAACCTTATAGTACTGGGAATAAGTAAGACTGGTAGATATTTAAAGCAGTTTCTTCATCGTTTACCGGGTAAGTGGTTTCCATTGGCGCATTCATCAGCCAACCAGTTTTTGTTTTCAGATTTTCAAATCAGCACTCTTTCCATGGAGAAGTAAGTAGTTGTGTCCGATTAGTGCTATAAACCAGCAAAATACTTGATGAGCAGTGTAGCCAATCAGATGATATTCGAGCGAATCAGGGGAAGGTTGGAAAGATCAAGCAAAAATGGTTCAAACTGCAGTTAACAATATCACTAGTTTCTAGTTAAGCTTATTATCATCTTACACAGGCATTTCCATTTTGAAGAGCCAAGTCATCTACATTGCCTGAATCTTTATGCGTAAGTTGAAGAGGTTGGCAACGAGAATAATCAAAAATTGATTGGTTTCATAGCATTCCACATTTTCACCCATTAGGGAACCAATGAAAACCAAAAGGCATTGAACAACTGTTTTGATCTTGTTTGGACATGTCAGCTGTAGTACTCAACTCAAAATGGAACCCAGAGTCATCAAGTGGTACATTAAACCTGTTGTGATTCATTTCCCTTGTTGAAATGTGATATTTCATATTTTATAACATCGGTCGATTTATTATGTCTTATAACCATTAAAAACTTGAGGTAAACAGCTATTCAGTACTAGTTGATTTCCAACGGTTTTGTAACTTATTCTGATCGTTGATAAAAGCTTGAATCATTCAATTCTTAAAAAAACCTTCCAGTCAAATAAAATATTTTAGCCTTTTTTTATGTTATGCATTTTATCAGTGCCTCATAAAATAAACAGTTTACTTTAAAGAAATAATTATGTCCTTGTAATTGTCTTTTTTCTAGATTCTTCTATTTGCATTTTTTTTCAAATTTCATTCACTTATTCCAACTTTTTGATACTTGAATTCATTCTTGTTGAACTCTCCTTCCTTTCTTTTATACCTAGTTTAGCCAAGTAAATAAATAAAATGTTGCATATCATATAAAATATTAGGAAATAATAAATCATGTGAAAGGTTGCAGTAAAATAAATGTTTCAAGGGTAACGAATTACAGGATGTTTAAATAATGTAAACAGAATTTAATCCCATATTACACTAGACTAATCTAATATTGAACTTTATGATGTTTCATTTTCTTATTTTGTTTATGCATATGTTCTCCAGATATTTTGATCATTCGTATTCATAGCTTGTATTTTAAAACTCAGTGATACATGTTGTAATATAATAATGCAAAGACATATTTGATATTTAAGTCACTACTATCACAGTGTTAGCTTTATATGGGTTTGCAAAGAAATATCTTGAAGTAATAATTTTCTTGAGCATGGTATTATTAAGTTTCTGTCTATGGCCTATGTCATCTGACTTGTTCATTCATTCAGAAAACTATCATACTTTTACTGAATTCCCAGGTTTCAGTTCTTCCATAAAACCCTCCACCGATTCTCTAAAACTACGCTACACTCTTGTTTTGCTTTTTAAATCTCAAGACTTAGTAGTTATTCTAAACAACAATTAAAACTAATCGATTTTATTACTTACTTTCGAATACACTCGAGAGAGTGGGATTGGATAGTTTAAGCTTAAAGGATTTATCTCATTTAGTTTTCTAGCTCCTGAACAAACAATCGATTCAAAGAGGTCTTTTTACAATTCATCTGCTATAAAGTACGAACTAATTATTTTAGATGAGAAGACGTGTAATCATGAAATATTCGAAATGTTCAAATTTTTTTCTTTTTCTACCACTATGGCTAAATTATTTCCTTTTGAAAGCTTCATGCTACTACCTTTCCATTGTTATGTTCACTCCGAAATTAACATTTTTATCTGTACCACGTAAATCCTCATATTGATCACGATGATATTGAACTAAGTTGGTGTTCATAACATTACTTGTCGGCAAAGTCAGTTGTATGGAAATCGAGCTCAAAACCTCTTTAAAAGCCGTATATATTCATCGTAAACCTAAAGGGATATAAAAGCTGAAGGAGCAGTTCATTTGACCAACTTTTAAGTGTATTTCTATTTTGAAAGCTTTGTTGGTTGTCAGCGAACCCAAATCTAAACATATTAGATGATACAGGTGAAACTTTTCTGAGGTGATGCGAATCCACGTATTCTTCAACTAGCTATGAGTAATGGGAGCTGTGGTTCATTCATCCAACTAGTCGACTTTCAACGGATAAGTCACCGTTTCTAATCCTGCTCCACCTGCCGACGTTTAGACTTTCATGTTTTATCGTTAGCTGTGGCTCTCTGCCGTGGTCAAAAATTTTCTTGTGTTTTCCGAGGCACATTGTATTTTATCGTAAAAAATAGATTTCTTATAGTTCTACACTTTGGTTTTGCGCGTCGTAACTGTTTTTCTCTAAGTCCAAATAGTTAACCACATTTGGTAGGATCCTGCTAGTTTTTAATCACTTATTTCCAGTCCATCTCCGTCTGCTAATGTGAAAGATGGCACTGTTGTGCTTGATTTCTCATTGTTTCTGTCTCTGTCAGTTGGAACCGAAGCGTATACCTCATTATAGACTTCACAGTGCTTAGCAACATAGTTGCAGTTTGTAATCGACAAGAAAAGGGCTCGTGATATAAGCTATGTGATATTGTTTACAGAACAAGACGTTTTTGTAAACGATACCAATTTGTCATATTGAGTAACGCTATTCTAGGTAAGTGGTTCCACTGCTTTCAAATAGTTGTCTAAGAGAGGTTGTACCTTTATTAATTGCTATGCAATATTATCCACCATTGTAATTCTTCTTAGTAGTGGCACTTCACAATTCTCATTCAAACTGTTTTGATCAATATGACAAATGATGAAAACTAACTGATTTACCACACGTAAGAAAATGGAGTAGTTCATTCACACTGAGACAATTACGAGGTTGAAATCATTTTGCTATCAGCACCATGTTGTTCCACAAGTGTCTTGAAATGTTATTTTGATATTGTCCTTAAAAAAACGCTGAGTGGTTAAAAAAGCTTGAATTATTATAGTTTTGTCATATTCTGAATAAATGTAAAATTCCATGCATAATTTGACTGATATCCTAGTTCGTGGTGAACTAAGTTTATTACATAGTAGGGACCGCTGTAGAGCTGTCTTGTCAACGGTTTTGTAAAATAAATCGAAAACGAAGGTAAATGATAGTAATCTCAGTCAACTGCTACGCTAACACAAGTCTCCTTATCATATTTAATCTATGCCATATCAGCAATGATAATTTTCCGTTATTTCTACATCCGTGCCGTGGAATGTGTTTTGTCAGGTAGGAAATGAAAAACACGGATCTCAGATAGTTGTTATCAGTCGCGTTGTTTTATTTATTTTGAAAGGTATCTTACTGATGACTAGTTTGTGAACGCTATTAGCTCGATTCAAGAGCCTTCGACTGACCCCTCATCCATTCCTGTATGACTTACAATTTCGAAGTAATTGGCTGTTATGTGAAATCGATGGTTTCACTTTACGTTTCATTGTGTGTTGTGGACAGGAAATTCAGTTATGTGCACTGATTATTGCGATTTCCAAAATGTAAGGGCAATAAGCTCAGTACTTTATGTTTTGTCTGCTGTACTAGGTTGAGAGGTTCAAACGGCATGACTCATCGTGTGAGTGAATTAAACTTACAAGATAAGGCCAGTGGGCGGCCTTAAAGGCCACCCTAGCAACAATCGAAATGACCAAATAGGTTTCTTCATTTAGCCGGAAACGCAAATTTTCATAAAATACAGAATTCTAATTGGTTATTTTGGTTGTTACTAGGGTGGCTTTTAAAGTCACTCAGGCTAGCTTATACGAGATTAATCACGTGTAAGATCAGTTATATAAGCGACTAAGTAAAACCACGTGGTTCGGACAACAACTATTGAGCGATGCGAGTCAAAAGTCATTTAAACTGAATATGAAATGAACACTCCGTTCATTGTTTAGGGTGATTGTTCTACAGTCTACAGGAATTTTCATCCGTGATCCCATCAATTTACCTGGATCTACTAAAATACTTTGGATAAATTCATAGAATAATGAACATAGTAAGATATTCTAACTGATTCAGTTTCTGGTTGGTTGGAAAACTATTAAAAACCAGGGAGCGCTGCATAGAACTTTCGTCCTGCTATAATGAGAAGTGGTGACCGGTGGAACCAACCAAGTGGGACGCGAGAACAGTTACTTAACAGTGACATTGGATGGAGGTCGCGCCACGTCTTGAACTAACAGAAGTAGGAAATATGAACCTTTGGATTCCGGCTCAGTGGCTCAACGGCCGTGGAACCTGAAGGCACTGGGTTCGACCCCTGTTGAGGTCATGAATGCGCACAGCTGGGGAGTTCCATAATAGAATGAGACAGCTGTCCAATAGATGCTCCCAGTTTTTCAATGGTCCTCCAACTGATATC